AAATCCTGTGAGCTTGTTTCTTAATCCTTTTTCCAAACCTTTGAATGCCTTTTCTCCTTATTGATCTGTCACAATTTTAATATCTTAATTTAATTTAATACACAAACCCTACCAGTTGTATTTATAACATGACAGATTGAATTACGCAAAAAAGAATATTTTACAACGTTTACACCTCAATGTCTTTTTTGTATTCCTAACAAGAATATAAAGTGACATTCAGCGAATTAGACTACTATGGATGTGTTCATATGTGTCGGTTGGATCTTCAGCTTGTGAACTCACACAATGTAAAGGATAAAGGACCACAAAAAATTTTGAAGTAACCTACTTTAACCTGATAATTCAGAATTAAAATTTATCAACGTTATAAGAGTGCGTCGGCGGCACAGCCGTAGAATGCTCTGGTTTTTATCCACAGCCAATGCCTTTCTTTACCTCACTAAACCAGTAATAAGACTGTTAAAGAAGCAAGGTTGAGCATGGAGCATCTATCAACCCCGTCCGAGGAAAGTAAACACCACTACCAACCACCGAAACTTCCTATTTTCAACTTGGAACGTGAAGTAATAAAAAAAACGTCATAACAACTGTCGAATGTAGTCATTGTAGTTAGCAGTGTGACTAATAAGTCACAATATATATATTATACAAAGAAGCACTTCATTTCTATGTCAAATGGTGTGCGATTCGATCCCCGGCTGATGCACTCGCGAATCTCCCTTCACTGGCGACAGGACCTGTAAATGGAGAAGACTGGGAGTAATGTAAGCAACTTTGCTAAGCAAAAGAAGATAGGCAGAACGGCTACTGGGACTTAAAAGCTCAGTCCTGAAGCCTTACGATCCATTTGGAACTCAGAGGAACAAAATTTCTGCCTGCAAAAATCTAGCCAATTCGATGTATATGTTATTCAGTGAAAATTGAAAATCTTAAGAAATCCGCTTTCAGTTCTTTGTCTGAATGATAAATTTCTTCAACTGAGAAACAGGAATTTTAAGCCATACTTCTTGTAGGCGTTAATTCTCCAGGGCGTCAAAAGAAAAATATGCGAATTATAAATGGAGTACTTCTTTGGTCTTCAACAGCTCTTTGAATGGTCGTCGTTTATGACGAGGTCCACCGTGTAGGAGAAGAATTATTTTATGACAGGTAAACACAAGAAACATGGAAAGCCTTCAGAACCTTTTGCATTACTTGCCCACACTGTGCAGTGGTTCGCCTGGATAGATACTTTCTTATTTAATTGGTCATGAGAATGTCCATTGTTACTTTCAGTTAGTGAAGATAAAAACACGTGGTTCAGCGCAGAGTCTGTCTGCGGCGGTCAGTTCACTCACTTAGCTGTACAATCACAGTTAATACATAATTGTGTGTGTGTGTGCGTGTACACTGGCTTTGTCATGCTATGAGAGAAATTAGTTAGGTTTTCTATCTTACGTCATCAAAATATTTTAAACGGTGTGACAAATAATGGAATTGTAACTAGAGGGGATGCGGTGAAGATTAGTATGAGGGTAGGGGTGATGATATGTCAATGTTAATCAATACATAAGAAAAGCCGAATAAGTGTATTGTAGTTACGTAATAAGATGAAGAATTTATTGAGTAAGTTTTGATTAGAATATTTCGAATTATGTAAGAGTTGTGAAGAAATACAAGGGTAATAAGGAGTTATAAAAGCAGGGGAAAAAATATCAAGTGAGTAGAAATCAAAACGGTTGTTTCCTTGACAGTAGAAGTGGTTGAATGATTTTCTATTGTATACAAAACTCTTGTTTTTCAAACTGAATGGTTAACACTTCAGCGATACAAATAAAACGAAAGCATATTGCCTTTGGTAGGTTATTCTTGATTCTGTGGATTACTGTGTAGCGGAAGGCGTTTAATGAGATGCAGTGGTTAGTTTTTACAATGTGTTAGATGATCGCACTCCTTATTGAGCCAGTATTACCTTATTACAGCCATGTGAGATAGTGTTGTCGAACACTTTTGGATAGAATATACGCCAAACGACCGATGCACCCGGCCTCACAGCAACAGGTGAACAGGTATATGCAAGTGGAAGTGGTCAGATGCCAGATCTTATCCTTAAGTCTTACACAGAATAATGGACGACTTGAGAACACTACTGTGAAGAATGTTTTTCCTCAAAGATGCTGAAATTATTCGCCTGAGGATACCACAGGTTATGTCTCTCTTGAAATCCAGGTTCATATGCCTCTTTACAACTTTTACACAATTGCATATTTTCCTTCGTTTCTGTGTACATTCTAATCAAAACTTACTCAATAAATTCTAAATCTTATTACGTAACTACAATACACATATTCGGCTTCTCTTATGTATTGATTAACATTGACATATCATCACCCTACCCTCATACTAACCTTCATCCACCCTCGCTAGTTACAATTTGAATATTCGTCACATTGTTTAAAATATTTTGATGAAGTAAACAATAACCCTAAGTAATTTTTATTCTTGTCTAACAAAGCTAATGTACATACACATGCATATAGAGATGATTGTATATAATCGCGATTGCACAGCTAATTGAGTGAACTGGCCGTGTAAAAAGACACTTCACTGAACTACATGTTTCGTTTTCAATAATATCTGGATGGATATTACTCAGGAACTTTTAGTTGTCACATCTGATCTCCTTCAATCAATAAATACTATTCAATATGGTGAGTTGTCATGTGAAGTGGGGGCAACTAGTGGTGTCCGACAGTGATGCTCACTGTTCCCATTTCTGTTCAATTTCATCATAGATGTATGTGGTAATGGACTTAACCCCAACTAAATTCAGTGATTCAGGGAGTGAATAATCTTAATGCCTTAGAATATGCAGATAATAGAGTCCTCTTTCCTAGGTAAAGAATCTGACAACATGCAGTCTTCTCAGCCCTATGAGTTGCAATGTGCATATGTTTGGCATGCGATTTGCTCCCAACAAATGTGAGATGACGCTACAGAACTGGACTAAACTGGCTCTTAGTTTTGAAATAAGGAGTGAAGTGGCAAAGAGCGTTGACCGCCTCACTTATTTGAGAAGTTGCATCAACCCCTTCAGTAAGTTGTTCGGTGACGAAATATCAGCACAGATACAGAAGGCTCGTTTAGCATATTCCAGTTTACGCCGTCTCTGACGTAGACGTGATATCCGACTGGCTGTCGACCAAATGGCGTATGAACCGCTCAGCAGTAGACTTCGTCCTCCTGTATGGCTGTAAGAAATGGCCACTGAGAGTGGAAGACATGAAAAGGCTATCTTTGTTTGATCATAGGTGTCTGCCTTCTATCTACCGTGTTAGGTGGTATAAAAGGGTGAACAATATTGAGGTTAGGCTTCGGTCGAGTAGCTGGGTGAGTTGGAGGGGAAGTCAATCAACGAGGCTGTGAAGTTACATCGATTGAGATGGTTAGGACATTTGTTACGTATGCCTAGCCTTCGATCGCCTTCCTCGACGGTCAGTGTTAGCCACTGAAGTAGGGTCAGTTTCGAAAAGAGCCAGAGGTGGACAAACCAAAACATGGCTTCATCAGTCATTGAAATCCACAACAGTTAGTTTGAGTCAGCCACGTGTGGAGGTGTAAACTTCCTGGTCGAAGTCCTTGGGACGGTAAAAACCAGTGGCTGGAGACAATTGGTGGAGGTAGGTATATCGGTCGATCGACTCGAGTTTTGTCCAGAAGAGGGTGCAAGAACACTATCCTGCATGGTTGTGAAGAGGTGGAGGTGGAGCAATAAGAAGCGCGATCATTGAACATCTGATCGATATTGATCACCCTATCGCTATGGCCTCCGCCTTTAAAGTCATCTACACGGCGAAAAGTAATTTACCGAAATCCCTACGTACCCTACTCATATGTATTTCTGAAGCTTTGGCTATCGAAACAGAATAGACAGATCTCTGTGTGCAGAAAATGTCTGTCAACCCCTCCAACTTTCATGGTCTCAATCCCTAATCATATTTGGGCTCTAACAATTTTTCATTTCGTCTATTCAATTTGTATACTCTTCCTTATTACGTCAATTGTTACTATTACTATTCTCACTTTGAACTGTCCCCGGTATTATTTCACTTGTTCCACTTGTCTTTCTAAGTCCATTTTGTTTTGCAACATTAAATTCTGTTATCAAAGTTCACACAATATTACGTAACGCTTTTGATTTTATTTTATTCGATTTGTCTACTAATCCTATAATCACACACCCTTTTTCAAGTTCTATCCATCCTATGAATTATTCTATATACATGACATTAATTTGCTTTGCCGCTTGACATTTAACTATGATTATAATCACAAACATTTTAGTTTTTTAATTGCATTTCATACTACTATTATTATTAGTATTTTATGCATTCACACCTATGATTGAATTCCTTCACCAGATATAACTTCTTAAGGAAACCCATACGATTGTACAGCTTCATAATATATTTGTTGAAAAGAGTCTCTTCGCTGAATCACTTGTTTTGATTTTCTATATGTTACAATAGGAATTTTCCATGAATTTTTTTTGGTTACAGATTGATTCCACACTGTATTTTTGGTACAAGTGTGGAATTTTCAGCGTGGATATCGGTAGCCCAAAATTCGCAGGCCGACCATGGATATCAGGTGTGCGTCGGCGAGAGTCCTAACCACTGTGCCACCGACGCACATTGGTGATATAGCTCAAAATCGTTCTCAATGACTGGCACAGATGCATTTACTCCTTGTGACTTATAGTATCCAATAAAACTATAGTGTTCTTCGATATTACTACCCTTTTTACCTCATATCTCTGTTTACTGTCTCTATTTTGCATTTCTTTTTACTTTTTATTCTTGCTATGTGTGCCACATGTAGGGAGTGTGGCGACTCGAACTGCTGATGCTCATCGGTGCAGAGTTCTTAGTTGAAACCGGTCAGTCGGTCAGTCAGTCAGTCAGTCATTCAATATGTAAAACAATAAAAAAAAAAGAAAAGACAGCAAATAAACTTACGCGTTTTACACGTGATCCCATAACTTTCTTGTATTGAAACATAACCAGGCTTGCAGAAACATTCATTTTTTTCAATTGAACACATGCTGTTGGCAACACGACGCATACAATAAGCATCACCTTCTTGTAGACATGGTCCTGGAGAAACAACATGAAATTCATCGGCATAAATCCATACAATAAAATAAGAAATTAATATATAATCTCTCATAATCCGTAAATAAATGATGTAGGCTTCTTTATATATACATATATATGTATATCAGAACTCCTCCCAGTATCAATTTCAGCGCGTTTTTGTTTTGCCTCTCTTAACCTGATCACATACTAGATGCACATCGCCGCATTCAGTGGAATACACTTTGATGAAGAATTCATCTCCATGATCACCATGCGTCTGTGTTGACATGAATGAATAAGCATCGATAATTCATTATAGTGTTATGTTGATGCAGACTGTTTCTACACTGGGGAAAACTGTCTCTCTCCAGAATAAATTTTTCCTGAATTTTCATTTGTGAATAGACAATTTGTAAATTAACCAATCTAAAATTTATTTTGTATATATATATATATATATATATATATATATATATATATATATATATATTGTTATTCAAAGAATGACAGATTAAATAGTGAATGGCAATTTAAGCTTGTCTTTTGTTTAAAGTTAGTAAAAATGAACCAATCAGCTTTTTGTGAAGAGATTTAAACAAATTACTAATACAAAAAAACGGAAGAATGTTAATGACTACTTATTTTTAGTACTTGTATTTTTAATTTTAGATATGTTCAAGAGATGCTGTTTAATTAGAGTTAAGTGTTAATAAATGTGTAAAACTTGGGCAGTGTGGTAGTAAGTAATTCCATATTAGTTTGTGTATTACTTACAGGATGACATTTCAAACACAATCTATTATTCAAGTGACGGTTTGTAGGGATTTGATTGGTTTCAGGATTTCATCATGAGCTGATATTAGTTAGAGAACCATTGGAAAACCTGGGATTACTGGACAGCTGTTTCGTCAGCCTAGTTTGGGACAGGCTCTTCAGCAGTACGCACCCACCGGGATTCGAACCCAGGACTTTCCGGTTACAAGGCGAGCTCGTATACCAGAATTCAAGGACCACTGGATTGGGTCCCAGTGGCTTAATGGTATACGAGCTAGCTCACCTTGTAACCGGAATGTCCTGAGTTCGAATCCCGGTGGGTGCATACTGCTGAAGAGTCCCAAACTAGGACGAAACGCTGTCCAGTACTCTCAGATTTTCCAATGGTTCTCTAACTAATGTCGGCTCATGATGAATTCCTGAAGCAATCTATTATTGTTCATAATCATATCAATCATAAATATACGACTTCGTAATTTGAGTTTTATGGTTTTCTTTGTTATCTCCTATTTTTCGTTGTAGGGGTAGTAGAAGTTTCCAGATATACGAGTGGACGGGTGTTGAATCATTCCTATTACACATGTTCTCTTCAGTTGATTCGATAAACGAAGCTTCTATTATCTCCTTCTCACTCCACCCTGTGACATTAGACTGTATAACTGTTGTCTTATCCCATCTGGTCTTATTATATGGTTAATTGTGTGCAATTGCATGTAGTGCGTAGTGTGTCTGGACTATGCTGCAGATTTCTTATCTTACTTGGGTGATCTATTTTAGATTTTGCTGCTAGATTTTTATGCTCCGCTAGTCTGACTGACTAACTCTGTTGTACCACTTTGATCTATGTATTTGACCTGACAATCATTCAAGCAGGGTATTAGATAAACAAAATATCTGGAAAATCCTACTACACAACGACGACAAGTAGGAGAGAACAAAGAAAATTATAAAACTTAAATTTCGAAGTCATGTGTTAAAAACTCGGCGATATGATTATGAACAATAAATTTTGTTCAAAACCTTGTCATCCAGTAGATTTAAACATTCTCTTGTTTGCTCAAGAGACCTTGATGTCGTTTATCTTGCCTATCGTTGGTTTATCAAGGTCTTTTCGTTTTTTCAATGCAATAAATTCTTGTTATATGATTGGTGGAAATCGGCTGGAAGCACTGCTCGTCAGGCAGATGTATCTGTAACCACCATATTATGTTACATTTTGTGAGATGTGAACACGCGTCACCTAGTGCTGCTGGCAGTTAAAGACGTTAGCGCTGAGCTTTTCGGAATAATGAATGAACAAGACATATAAGCGAACAGTACTGTTGTCTTCAATTAGATCGTATTCAGGCTTTACCCTAATGATCTAGATTTATATATAAAATGTTTTTAAATCAATGACGGTGATTTTAGGGATCAAATAGTAATAATGCTAATAATAATAATAATAATGTGGTAAATGTTTTGAATGTAGTTGATAACGATGATTTTAATGATAACAAAATATATATATATAATAAGGTTTAGGCAGGTGGCGATAAGAATAACAAAGGTAGTAATATATGTACATGTAGACAATTCAATAAATAAATAAATAAATTAGATCAAATCCTATAAATTATTCAATACTAAAGATGAAGTGGACAGATCATCAGAGTTTAAATAAATATCATAAAAGTACGAAAGAAACGGAAAATAAGAAAGAATAGGAGGGTTTTGAAAAGAATCCACCAAAGTCAAGGGAGAGACAAAGTTAGAACAAACTTCTTTTTGTATGCAAAGACACTGGGATTGTTCTCTCGAATTCCCATAGCTTGGGCTATTTGTAAAAGGCGGGTTCAAATTCTGTTCGAAAGGCTCAATAGAATACGATAGATAACTTTGAAGGCACTACTTTTTGTCCGCTTGGTGACCACTATCAATCAGATGAGGCAAAATAGAACTTCGTGTGGATTTTATTTCACTTTTTCCGAACCATGAAGGGAGATACTCATTAATGCGTTTGTTGAGCTGTCTAGTTGCCCGCCCTATATAGCTCTGTTGACATCGAAGCGGAACAGCTAGCTAAGTGGCTTGTCTGTACCTTGAGCAATTGTCATAATGATTGACCTTTTGTGGGCCTGTAATGCATATTTCTACTGGATACTAATTATTAACTAATATCATGAGACTCCTGCTACTTTTGGTAAAGATTTGACTGTCTGAAGTCAAGTTTGCAATGTTACTATCGGGGTTTCAGTCTTAGAAGAGTTTTGACTTCCTTCAAGATTCCCGATATGCTTTACAGACAAGTGACAAGAAGTGTGGAACTTTGATCCAAGGCTTCTTGCTGATTGTCACTAAGCACTGAACGATAATTCACAGTGGTGGCTATATTGCAAAACATAATTAACAGACACATGACACTAGTTGCTGACTAGTTTCCAGGGGAAAAGAAAAATTCCTCAATTCTTTATTGACTGAATGAGCTTACAATTAACTCTTGAGAACTACTCAACTATATTTAAAATTGCACTGACGATAACTACTAAGACCTACCTTTTAATTTCTGCCTAAATTGGTGGATAGGTATAGATATAATTATTTTAAAATAGGATTATTATGCAGCCTGTTACAAGATTGTATTAATGGAGTATATCATTGAATAACATTGTATTGCATGAGAACATTAATGTCAGTCCATTTAATCTTGCTTTCAATCGTTTGTATTTGAAATGATTTATGAGTAACAGTTATTTCATGTTCCATGTTATGCGTACCACATGTGTGAGGTGAGCGCCTACGATACTACCCACTTATCCAAGATTGAGGAGAAGTGGCAGGTATCGAAGCCAGGATCTGAGGGCTCAGACCAATAGGCTTAAATAAGTCAGCCATATTTAATCATCATGTAGAAAAGGATACTCATGTAGAGATATAATTACAAATGTCTTTTGTACTTGTGACCCGAGTTTCATTGTTACTCATCTGTATGATGGAAGTGTATGACAGTAAAGCTACAACTGTAAAGCATCAACTCTGTGCTGATTCTGTTCATTCATATTGAAATGATACTCGACTTATGCAAAAGAATACGCTTACTGGGCAAGTCTTTCAAGAATAAATCTTTCGGCTCACAGTGATGCGGGGTATATAAACATTTGCATTTTTTCTTTATTTTTATAAATATTGTGTGTATAAACGTATGATAAAGTCATAAGATATCAGGATAAAATATGGGCAATATTTTAGAGTACAATTCCAATATGGTTAAAATGTATTTGGATAAAGTCACACACGGTGGTAAACGGTAATATTTACTGATGATTACGTTTCGACCACAATTTATCATATCAAGGAACTCATAGAAATTGCTGACTTCTTAAGTATACATGGGTAAAAATTGATTAGATATTTGAATAAAATCAACCAAGGAACAAAAATGGTCAAAACCAAAGTAAAAATAATTGTAAAAGTAATAATGAGAGCATGAATACCAAAGAATATAAAGCATTTAGTGTTACCAACATAATCAGGGGACATCTGAGATCCTATTCAGTATTCTTAATATAGCAGGAATTCGGTTGACATTCAAACTTACAAACTCAATCAGGTAGGACAAGCTCTGTAGGTAGGTGAAAGGACCCTGTAGGTTGACCCACTTAGACAAAATAATACAATTTACAAAATACTTTGCAATGACTGTGAGTTAAGTTAACCCATTTTGGGTCAAACTAGCAGATCAAGAGTGGCTAAGGTTAGCAATGATTGACCCCACGAAGATAGATTAGTAATTTAGAAAAAAATACTCAGCACTACATTGCACTGCATGCATTAACACACAACGACACAATAGAGTGGGTGGGAGAGGGTTAAAATTCTAAAAAGTAATCTAGGTAGGTGGAGATAGATAGGGGGGGGGTTGATTGCTGAATCCTGCCTGGTTCATCGAGTCTACACCCAATACACAACACATGCAACAGAAGTAAGTCAACGCAAATACCAGAAATATGCATGGAAGATATTATTACCACCAGTCAGTCATTCAAATCAGAGGAGGATAATAAATAATCTTAAAATATATTTAAATTCACACTATAATACTCTAACAAGTTATTTATTTTATTGACAAAACATCTCATCTCCCATCTTATTAGGTAAAAACACTCCTCTAATTTCCCACAGTATTATATTTTATCGATAACACTAATATTTTTTTGATAATGAAATAATGTCAGTAAGAAGTTTCAGCATTGTTGAATAGATAAAATAAATTACAATTATATTTCACTAGTTTACACACTTTGATAAGATTTTGTTCTTGGTAATATTATGAAAAAAATTACTGCATTGAATTGAATTTTTATTTTCCCATCGATTGATTGGACCGAAGTGCTCGGTCTCAGGTTGACATGTCGGCTTCTTGTGCAGATGCTTCGACGATGTCCGGGGATTTGATTTGTATACAACTGGTGGATGGTGGCTAGCAGTGGAATCCAGGATGCGCATTTCGTTCTATTTGGGACTCGTCAGCTGGATGTACCTGCATTTCTCAGTGAGTGATGGTGTTCCCACCGAGGCTTGAACCCAGTACCCATAGTTTCAAATGTCAAAGCGTTATCCACTAGACCACTTGGGCCACGAGAGCCACTGTCTCTTGTGCAATGGG